ATGGAAAAATATTCGTTCTTTATTAGGAAAAATGATTTAGGAGGGTTACGAACTATCGATTTGTTCAAATTTAGTTATTTTTTATTTACCATATACCATCAAACTTGTTTAGATTGTTCACATTTTACCCTTGTTAACGACTGATGTAGGTTGCAAGGGTAAAATGTGAACAGTTTCAACAAATTAGCTAGTATATCGTATACAAAAAAGAGACTAAATGTGAACAAAGTTAAAAGTTCTTTTAAGAACCAATATTTATGTAAAAACTTGAGATTTTTTTTGGCTATTTTTTTTTTCAAAAACAACACTACTGTAATAAAAAAAAAAGACTTTAGAGTTTTCATGTTTTTTTCTTCTTATTTCATAATTGAGAACTAAACTGTTAGACTATGTTATTAATGTATGTTGGGTTTTATTCGTCATTTTAATTGGTTATTTGTTTATTTAATTAGGTTTAATTAGTTTTTTTACTTCTAAAATACTAACCGAAACCGAAGCAAAGAATGTTTGTGTAAATTGGGTTTCAGGTTATTTTATTTGCTTATCGGTTAAATATGAATAACAAAAATCAACATTTCAATTGTATTAAGAAACGATGATTTGTCCAAAAATAACTTAACAATCAACGTCTAGACTAGTCGTAGATAAAAAAAATGATGTGAAAACAATAAATTTGCATTGTGTATATATGCATATTTGTGAATATTGATAATATTCATATATACACATTTTTAAATATATGCACATTACAAAACAAAAAAAAAAAAAAACATTGTTCTTTTTATTATTATGGTGTGATTATATCCTCCCTAACAAATAAAAATTATTTTACCACTTGTTATTTTTTATGTATTATGTCATGTCATTTTGTGGTGTTTTTCATTTTATCAAATTTCATATAATACTTAAATGTAATAATAAATGTATATCAAATTCATTAATACAATTTTTTTATATAATTTATAAATTTCTAAATTGAATCTAATTATTTTAATTGTTTATTTATTTAGATTATTAGTTTAAAATTAAAAGATAAATGAGCACTTCAGTTTTAATGATATTTTTTTTTTATAAATTTAAAATTTTAAATTGTTAAATCTTCATTTTATTTATTTTTTTCAAGGTTCTAAATAACGTAAGGCGTGACTTGACAGCAATGTCAAGCCTCAAATTTTTCCGAACCTTGGCGAACCATGTTGTTTGTAAGACGTGACTTAAGGCAACAATTTTATATATAATTCATATTTTTATATGTATTTTCTACTATTATTCATTTTTATAAACATATTAATCAATACGGCGTTTTGGTAAAGCTTGGCGGCACATACAAGCTTTAGAGTCGTAACAAACTTTTTAGAAACTTGATACTTTTAGATAAACCCTAATATATGTTTGTTTAATTTTCCTTTTTAAATAAATATTTTTCTTTTTATAAATTTAGATTTTTTAAATTGTTAAATATTTATATTTTTTTTAGATAAATATATAATTTTACACCTATTTTATAATGTGTTTATAAAATTACCGGTCAATGAATATGTAATAGGTATGAATTTTCAATTAACTTGTAATATGTTTAATTAATCATGAATATGTACTTTTGCCACCGATTATCGACGATACGTGCGTCAGTTACGGTGGCGATTGTTAGAGTTGCCACCCTTCATAAACCTCAGGAAAAAAAAAAAAAATCACAATTACGCATCAAAGAAGCTCTATCTGCATCTATCCATTCTGAAATCGGTAATATCTTGCTTCTATTATCATCATTTAATGTATCTGTTACTACGTATTAAGTTTGGAGCTGCTTTAGGAATTTGATTTAGGGAATTTTGAACTGCAAACTGATACTCCACATATTCCATGCTAGAATAGGCATAAATTCGTATGATTCCGGCAGATACCTCAATAAGTTTCAGTTTTGTTAATGTAGATTTATGTGAAAGTCTAATATGTACTCTCTCTGTGCTAAGAAATTAGAAAAGTGTTCCATTGTTGAATTCTCCAAGTTTATGAGCAATTTTGCAGTTATAGAGTTTACGCCGTGAAGAATTGCGATGTTTGAGACTTGAAATGGCTTTCATATCATGGTATAATGAAATCGCTACAGTATTAACAATGAGAGTGGTATTTCAAAATTGCTACAAGTTCTGTAAAACACTTAGCACGGAGATCTTCTAATCGTTACAAACTTCAATGAAATTGCCCTAAAATTCCTCGAAATCGTAGAGAACTCGTTTAAATTCGACGCTGAAAGTATCTTCTGTTTGATCCGTAGATGCATAACGCTTCCGCTTTTACTATTTCAGGCACTGTATCCTTCAAACTTCCGATGATTGGATAGCTGGTGATGTTTTTGAAACCATGAGCAATATGAAGAAGTACGACAATCATAAACATCAAACTGGTAGCTGTAAGGATGCTTTGCAGACTTGTACCTTATGGACTGATGGACTAATTTGTGCTTTTGAAGCTCTTCGTGGCCACAAAAAGCATAAACCACAAGATACAATTGGGGGAAAGAAACATGGATATAAAACCATGAGAACCAGTTCATCATATGGTGATGGAATTGATACTTTAGATGATACACAAACTGGAAATTACTGGATACCAATTGGTTGGTCAAGAATAACTCAACTTGTGGAGTCAATACAAGTCAATGGCTGCTGGGAAACTCAACATACAGAGCTTGCAATCGATGATGATGAAGTCACAGTTGCAGACATTGCTGTTCCTTACAGAGAACGACCCGTGGGTCCCACATGGTGGTGTCATGTTGATGCAGAACATCATTCAGTGAAGTCATGGTTAACTAACTCATCAAAGTGGTTACATCCAGCTATCAGTATTGCTTTAAGAGATGAAAGCAAGCTTATAAGTGAGCGTATGAAACACCTTCTTTATGAGGTTCCTGTTAGGGTTGCAGGTGGACTGTTGTTTGAGCTTTTAGGACAATCGGCAGGCGATCCTTATGTTGAAGAAGATGACATTCCGGTTGTTTTAAGATCATGGCAAGCTCAGAACTTTTTAGTTACTGCATTACATGTTAAAGGTTCTGGAACAAACATCAATGTCCTAGGAGTTTCAGAAGTCCAGGTTTTTCTGTATACAACAGTATTGTTATTAACTGTTTTGTTTGAATTTATTTATTTTAATCTTTATTAACTGATTCAAACAGGAGCTTCTTACTGCAGGAGGTGGTAATTTGCCTCAAACCATTCATGAAGTTATAGCACTTCTAGCAAGCCGCCTTGCCAGATGGGATGACAGGTGGAATTTCCTTTCTTTGCTTTAATCTGCAAAATTAGAAAAACAATGAAAAGGCTTCTTTTATCTTTGTCAAAATAACTTTTAATTTACAAACTTTTTAGATAATCTTGATTATAATTGAGTTTCTTGATCTTTTACTTGTTTTAGTAATATTGGTTTCTTTTTGGGTTTAATAGACTATTTAGAAAATACATCTTTGGAGCAGCTGATGAAGTTGAATTGAAATTCATGGACAGGTTCTTAAAATTCACTCAAATGAAACTTTCACTTCTTGTATTATTATGTAATAATTATTGCTCAAATTCTTACATTTTTTAGCTTCTCACTTTTAGGAGAAACCATGAGGATTTGCATCTATTCAGCATAATATTAAACCAAGAAATCAGAAGGCTATCTGCACAGGTATTGTTAATATAGAAATATTTCGACACAAGAACAGATTCTATTTTTTATTCCATATTCATGTCCATTCCCAATATGAATTTTACCTTTTATATCTCTTTTTCTTGAAGGTCATAAGGGTAAAATGGTCTTTACATGCAAGAGAAGAAATCGTTTTTGAACTCCTTCAACATTTAAGAGGTAACGCAGCAAAACGTTTATTAGAAGGAATAACAAAAAGCACTCGACAAATGATCGAAGAACAAGAAGCCGTACGTGGACGTTTGTTCACAGTACAAGATGTCATGCAGAGCACTGTCCGTGCCTGGTTACAGGTAAATATAACAAGCTGTATTGTATTTGACATAAATTCCAATCATATGTCCAATCCAAAAAGGTGGAACAACTGGTCCCACCTTTTTGGATTTTTTGTGTCCCACACAATTATATGCAGTACAGGTTGTACTACATCAAGTGTAGTACAGTTGTACTGCAAAAATTGCAATTTTTTATCTCACCAAAAAAAGATGGAACCGGGGGTCCCACTTTATTCGTCTTTTTGGGTGAGACTAAAATTTGCAATTTTTATCTCATTGACATCAGTCTCAGTCTCAAGACACAGTATCACCTGTTCTATCATACTGACAAGTTCTCTTTTGCCAGGACAAAAGCTTACGGGTGACGCATAATTTGGGAGTGTTTGGGGGATGTGGACTTGTTCTTTCGATTATTACGGGACTTTTCGGGATAAATGTGGATGGGATTCCCGGATCTGAAAATTCACCTTTTGCATTTCTTTTGTTTTCATGTGTTCTTGGGGTTCTAGGAATTGTGTTGATTTTTATAGGGTTACTTTACCTTGGATTAAAAAACCCTGTTATGGAAGAGGAAGTTGAGGTGAGAAAAATGGAGTTACAAGAGCTTGTAAAGATGTTTCAACAACAAGCGGAATCTCATGCACAACTTCGGAAATCTGATTCTAGATCTAAAGTGACTTCTTCGGCTATACTTCCCGGTAGTTATGACAGTTATGTTCTTATGCCCTGACATAAATTGATGTTTAAGGACTGTTTTTCACAATTTTGGAAAGTCAAGGGTGCTCTGTTAACTTTACTCGAACTTTATGTTTAGTTGTTGAGACTTAAGTAATTGATCCAACTATGAATCTTTCTTATACTATGTACATATGTTGATGCATGCTTTATCTTTTATATATTGTGAACAAAAAAAAAAAAGTTGGTATTTCTTGTTTTTTACAATAAAAGTAGACCAGTGGTTGATAAACAGAAGCATACAAATTACAAAGAGACTTGAAGTCACAAGAGTTGTAGAAATTAAAGCGGATTTCATCTTCTAGTGATATGTAGTAAAAGAGATGCTGACGTGGCTATGAGTATTGCAAATCTCCATTTCCAACATGTGTTACAAGTTGAAGCAGCACCTTTGTGGTTTCTACGTTGACCTGCAGCTGCTCCGGCTGTATATACAGGTACCACCCCAGTGCCGCCTCCTTGTGGGGAGGAGTTCGCCTGACCACCATCTCCTCCCTCCTGCACCCCGCCACCTCCACCACCACCACCACCACCACCACCTCTCACAGCGTTTACATATATACTATTGTCTTGTATTTTTTCTACAGAAAGATCCACACACAGTTGACAAGAAAAAGTACAAGTGATCATAAAACTCTTTGTTTTTCTGAAACCATGACTTTTTAAAATCTATATCATATTAATGTAAAGAGAGGGAGAAAGAGAAAGATAACCTGAAACCAAGTTGTTGCTAATTAGAGAAAACGATGCAGGAGAACAGAAGGAAAAAAGAAGCATGGCTAATAGCATCAACTGTTGAGCATCCATGTCAGTTTTCCTTCAATTCTTAGCTTTAGTGTTCTTCCAATTATATACTAATGACAACATATGACTTCCAGTCAGCCATAAGCTACTGTATCTGATTATTCCTTTTGGTAAAGCATACACTTGAGTAACTGTCATCTTTATTGATCAGGCTACGTTTGCGTATTCCAGTCCACTTAAATTCAAAAGAAACTATATTTAGTTTGAGAAAAGAATATCGTACATTAGCTGTTGTTGGTAGGTAATATAAAAGTGAAAAACCATTATCTGGAACCTAGTTTTCTTCGGAAAAAGGAAAAAATAAGATGCCCACAACTCTTTAGTCTCTGGACGTGGACCCTCCTAGGATTCTCTTTGACCCTACCCCTCTAAGATGTTGCCCTTTCATTTTATCTATTTAGCTTCATTTCATCTATAATTTTGTTTTTACTGATTGATTATATATCTCAATTATGTAGGGGGAATGTATATGCTATGCAATGGTTGCATTAGAGCACTCCAATGGCAATTTATCTTTTATTTTAATTTATTTTAAACAATCTTTCATTTTAGCGGTGTCATTACCTCTTTCTGAATGATATAACTATTTTTTTTAAACTTCCATATATATATTGGACTCTTAAGGAGCTCCACAATATCTTACCTAAAGAAAACAAAAGTATCAAACATGAATGATATGTACACATGTTGATTTTTCATTGATGAATTCTTACTTTTTTGTGATTATAAAACAATAAGTGAAATCCCCACTCCTTAAGCCTGACAGAGGAAAATCCCGTGTTAAATCTGTACATGTGTGTTTTTCTCTTATCCATTTGAAAGCCAAAATGTCAATCAGTCTAAATGTTAGTCTAATTATTAGATTAATAAATAATTAATAATTATTATTCAATTATTTATTTGAAGTTGGTAATTTTAAATTTAATATTTTATAAATATTATTTTTTATTTATGAGTAATATTTAGTGTGTGGCCTTACAGATTAATATACACAAAACAATACCACTGTTCTTTGTTAATTGCACATTAATTCCAATAAAATACCAACCACCTTGAAAAATCTTGAGTTCCTATCGCTACTTTCTTGTCTGAAAACTAACTATTCTTTGTTCATTGCACATTAATTCCAATAAAATAAAAACCAACATGAAAAATCTTTAGTGAGTTCCTATGGCTACTTTCTTGTCAGGAAACACCATTTAAAATACAGTGGGATAAAGACAAAGGTTTATGGTATGTGAGGACGAGGTTCGTAAAAGATATATTGATATAAATCAACATGAGGTGATAAGACTGAAAATGTTTTAAAAAATGTCGTCATGGAGATAAATAGTCACCTAAGGATTCATAAAAAACCGACTATATTGATAGGTATGAATCACATTAATATCTTTTAAACATCGAGTTAATATATATATATATATATATATATATATATATATATATATATATATATATATATATATATATATATATATATATATATATATATAAAAAAATATATACATAAAGTAATAATTTCTTAAATGATTTTGGGGTCCGTTATTTTTGAGGGCCCTGTGCTAATAATGATAAATGGACCCCTAAGATAAGAAAAATGATTAGTTATAAAATTCATTCAAAAATGCGTGAGGCAAATGGTTCAAACCCTTGACTATTAATGAGAGAGCCAACAATGTTTATACCTTAAAGCCAGCCGACAGATCAGTTAAAAACTAAAAAAGAGGCAACTGGTTCAAACCCTTGACTATTAATGAGAGAGCCAACAATGTTTACACCTTAAAGCCAGCCGACAGATCAGTTAAAAACTAAAAAAGGAGCGGATGGGAATCGAACCCACAACATGTTGCATGAAAAGGCAGCTCATAAGCCAGCTGAACTAGAAATTGTTTCTTAAAATTGTTGCGTAACATAATATATAATATATAATAACTATATAAATTGACGAAAAATCGGGCCCTATTTTTTCCGGGGCCCTGTGCGATTGCACACCTTGCACACCCTCAAAACCGGGCCTGACTTTGGGTCTTGTGGTATCAAAATTTGACACACAAATATTAATGTTCAATTTTTATTATAAACAAGAAATACTACATTTAGCATAGAGTAATCAATGTGTTAAATGGTTTTAAAAAATCTTATCTTATAAGCATCAACTCTTTGCCAAATTTAATTAATTAACCTCTAGCTTTAAGCCATGATTTCTACATTCCCTACATTGGCTTGCAACCTATGTTCCATGAAACAACAAATTCCCAATATTCATTAATCAAATTATATATATATATATATATATATATATATATATATATATATATATAGAGAGAGAGAGAGAGAGAGAATACCAAATATATACATAAAGTAATGATTTCTTATATACCAAATGATTTTGGGTCTTGTGGTATCAAAACTTGACACACAAATATTAAGGGTTCAATTCTTATATATATATATATATATATATATATATATATATATATATATATATATATATATATATATATATATAGAGAGAGAGAGAGAGAGAGAGAGAGAGAGAATACCAAATATATACATAAAGTAATGATTTCTTATATACCAAATGATTTTGGGTCTTGTGGTATCAAAACTTGACACACAAATATTAAGGGTTCAATTCTTATTATAGACAAGAAATACCACATTTAGCATAGAGTAATCAATATGTTGAACGGTTTAAAAAAATCTTATCTTATCAAGCATCAACTCTTTGCCAAATTTAATTAATTAACCTCTAGCTTTAAGCCATGATTTCTATATTCCCTACATTGGCTTGCTACCTATGTTCCATGAAACGACAAATTCCCAATATTCATTAATCAAATTATATATATATATATATATATAATATATATATATATATATATATATATATATATATATATATATAAAGAAAATAACCAAATATATACATAAAGTAATAATTTCTTATATACCAAATGCCTTTGGGTCTTGTGGTACACACAAATATTAAGGGTTCAATTCTTATTATAGACAAGAAATACTACATTTAGCATAGAGTAATCAATATGTTAAATGGTTTAAAAAAATCTTATCTTATCAAGCATCAACTCTTTGCCAAATTTAATTAATTAACCTCTAGCTTTAAAAGCATCAACTCTTTACCAAATTTAATTAATTAACCTCTTGCTTTAAGCCATGATTTCTACATTTCCTACATGGGCTTGCAACCTATGTTCCATGAAACGATAAATTCCCAATATTCATTAATCAAATTATATATATATATATATATATATATATATATATATATATATATATATATATATATATATATATATAGAGGTTCACGTTTATTTTAGATCATGTTAATTTTTTCAGATCGTGAGACCAAATTTAAAAATAATTTTAAAATGAAAAATAAAAGGAAAAATTCAAAAATTCTTTTTTTAATTATTATTTTTGAAACTTTATTTAACCAAAAAAAAATAATAAAAAATTACTATTTTTTTTTTTTTGAAAAATACGTGAAATATTTTAATATAATATTACACTGTACATATTCTAATATGATTTTTAAAATGTGTAGAATATTCTACTAGATTTGCCAGATATGTAGAATATTCTAAATATTCTACTAAAATATGTAAAAAAAAATGTATTTTTGTTGGTATTTTTATTTTTTTTGAAAATATATATTCCGAAAATAATATTGGAATTTTTTTTTTTGAAAATTTTCAATTATTTTGCATTTTAAAAATGTTTTTGTTTTATCTAATAAATGAGTGGTTAGAATTGCATCTCACGGTCTTATAAAATTAAGTTATCTCACATGAACCTAACCTTATATATATAAAAGAGGTTTCACTATTAATTCCGAGTTTTTATTTTCAAATCCAAATTTATAAAAAACAAATTATATTATATATTGTCAAGCATATAATATAAAATATAAAACAAAAGTCTTTTCGGAAATAATTATGGTCACACAAGATTTTTATATTTACATAATTTTCCTTCAATTAATTTTTATTTAACAATTTTCACCCCTTATAATTTTAAAGTTAAATTATTAGTATTTTATACATTACGATTTGGTCTCTTACTATATTTTAAAGTTATATTTTGGCCCGTTACATAATTTTTTTAATAATCATTTTTCTTTAAAGATATATTTTCAAGTTTTATTTTTGTCCGTTGTTTGTATCGAAATTTTATTTTGATATTTTTCTGCTTAACTTTATATGATTTAATCGTTTCCGGTATATATATAGGTTTTTGACTTTTGTAAATCATATTCTGCGAACTACAACTGAGTTACCCCGTGCATCAAACCTAGGTTTCGGTCCCTTACACAATTTCGTTTTATAGATTGCGGCTTTAATATTTTCAAACGAGTTCTCCACTGTAAAGCATGGGGATACTCATATACTTGTTTATATTAATTTTTGATAAAGAGAAACTATTACAACTAGCCGATTGTGATAAATTACAATTTAATAATCTGAATTAAATGTTTTTTGATTTAGATTAAACATATGTATATTAAGTATTATCATCAACAAATATTCATATACCATACAATCGTTCAGAGAAAAATATAGAGTTTTAAGAAAATGCGAATTAAACTAAAAGTAAACCATATATATTTTTTGTGGATATTGTATCCATATATGAACCCGACCCGACTTGAATACCGCAGGCTCAGTAACGACCTTCAAAAACCCTAATTTTATAAGTATACACAGGCTCTCATTTCGTGCGGCGGCAACAGCAGCAGCTAGTCGTATCTTCTGCGCTTTGGAACCCTAGAGTAACAAAATCATCATCAGATTCCATGGTAAGTTAACACAACTTTTTGATCAATCACTCCGTTTCTCGTATTAGTTTCTGTCCTTGTTGTTCACTTCCATGGAGTTTAAGTTTCTTTCTGTGTGTATCAGGCGCCTAAGAAAGAGAAAGCCCCTCCACCGTCATCTAAGCCCGCCAAGTCCGGCGGCGGAAAGCAGAAAAAGAAGGTCATATTTCGATTTACTTAAAACTTCCATCGTTTGAAATTTTACTGTTGTGTTGAATTTATCATTTATTCTCTTAGTTTTTGTGGTAATTTACTCACGATTTGGTATACCTTGAGTTATAATGTCTTGTTCACGATTTGAGTTTCCGAATAATAGCAATGTAATTCTTCATAGTTTGATTCTAGATCTCCAATTCTAATCAATTTGGCATATGCAAATGCTAATTTTCTTCGTTCTC